AGCTGCCTCCTGCACATCTCCCACTGGGGATGTGCCCGCAACCCAGGTACATGACCTTGACCGGAATCGAACCCGGGACCTTTCAGTCCGCAGGCCGACGCTCTATCCACTGAGCCAAACCGGTTTCGGCTGATTTTTTTTTCTTATTATGGCTCATGTTTTCCTGCTTCCAATCAGAAAAGTTTGGTGTGACACCAGACTTAGTGAACATTTCCTTGTTTAGTGAGCAATATTTGTATTTATATATAAATATATCTGTTTGCTGTTTTAAATTATTCTAGATTCAGTGAAGTTAATGGAAAATGGATACAGTTTTTTTTAAAAATGTTTTCATTGAATTATTTATTTATTTATTTTTAGAGAGAGTGAGAGAGAGAAGGGAGAGGGATAGAGAAATAGAAACATTGATTGAGAGAAACATCATCCATCGGCTGCCTCCGTCATGTGCCCTGACCGGGAATAGAACCAGAGACCTCTGGGTTCATGGGTCGATGCTCAACCACCCAGTCACACCCGCCAGGCAACAGAAACAGTGTGATCCTTAGCCCCCTGGGCTGGCACTTCCTCGGTGGCGCGAGCAGCGTGCAGCCTTGTGCTCATGGCCCAGCACGGAGGACGCTCCTCTCTCTGGTCAGCCCGGCGCCTGATGAGGAGCCTGTCCTCTGACTGAGGACGCACGGCTCTGACTGTGGGTGTGAGCTCTGCCCCTGGTCTCTGGGCTCCTGGGTGGCTCTTTCTGGCTGTGGGAGCGGCTCTCACAGGTGGTGCTGAGATCTCAGGGATAATTGCCGTCCCCCTGGCGACCTGGGAGAGGGAGACTCGCCTGCAGCGGGGCTTTGGGGTGAGCCCTCTGGGAGGAAACGTGAGAGGCCAGACCAGGTGACCTGCATGTGGTGACAACCGAGGATCAGCGGGGAGGGCGTCCTGAGCTGAGGGGGACTCGGGACCCTGGCCTCAGGCGGGTGCTGGCCTGAGCCTCACTCTGAGAGGGGCATGGCCTTGGGGGAGGCAGCCCCTTCCCGGGGAGGGCACAGCTGTGAGCTGCCAGGTCCCAGCGGGGCTGTGAGGTGGGTCAGCCCTGAGCAGGGACCAGGGTGGACTCCTCAGTGCCCACAGCTCGGGTTTGGTTGTTCAGCACCCAGGCTGCCAGGTCCTGGGGCTTCATGAGCTCAGATTGGCTGGGAGACCTGGGGAGACACTGGGACATGGGACCAATGAGAGGCCCCGTTACCGGGGGGGATAAGCAGGGTCGTTACCACTGTCTGTGTGTCTCCCGCTGTGTGTCCTCCACCCAGGCCCTCTGTCTCCAACCCCCACCCAGGCCCAGACACCATCAGGGCAGCCCTGTCCTGTCCTGTCCAAGTGAACCCGCTCTGTTCCACCCGCTGCAGAGCGGCCTGAGGCGGGAGGAGGGGCAGCCTGGGGAGCTGAGATCTGGGACCTGGGCCAGGCCTGCTCATGGCTTTGCCTACAGTCCTCCTGGGGCTGGAGGAGCGTGTGACACAGACGGGGACAGGGTTTCTGTCCCACTTCCCCATCTGCCTGTGTCACTGTGAGATTGTCATCACTGGTACTAGACTGACAGTAATAGTCCGCCTCGTCCTCGGCCCGGGCCCCACTGATCGTCAGGGTTACAGTCTTCCCGGAGCTGGAGCCTGAGAACCGGTCAGGGATCCCTGAGGGCCGCTCACTATCCTTGTAAATGACCTGCACAGGGGCCTGGCCGGGCTTCTGCTGGTGCCAGGAAGTATATCTTTTATCCAGGAAATCTCCAGTGCAGGTGATGCTGGCCGTCCCTCCCGGGGCCACTGACAAAGGGCCCGACTGGGTCAGCTCCTGGGAGGCCACAGAGCCTGGAAGAGAGGAGAGGGGGTTTGAGGATAAGGACCCATTACCTGTAGATTCCACCCTGAGTCTGAGCCTGGAACGAGCTCAGGGTTGGAGCAGGTCTAGCTCAGGTCCTGGGGGCAGCACCTGTGCAGAGAGTGAGCAGGGGGAGCAGGAGAGGGGTCCAGGCCATGGCGGAGACACCCCAGGTTCAGACTCTGAGCCCGCAGCTGGGCAGGTGGCCTCTGGGCGGCTCTTATGCTCTGCAAGGGGCTCCTCATGCAAATCTCCTCCTCCCTGCGGGCCTCCTGGACTGGCTCCAGCTGCTCAGGGCACAGCTGGGCTGATGGGAGTTCAAATAGGAGCCTCCCTCCAGCCTGTACCAGGTCCCAGAGCTCTCCGTGGTGCTGAGGGAGACAGTGCTGACCCCTGACCCAGCCCCTGCACACACACCCCACGCTGACCCCTGACCTCCTCCCTGGGCTTGGGGAGAACCCTGGGGCCTACACTGGGGATCAGATCACCCATGTGGGCGGGGCCTGCTCATGGAGACAGTGGCCAGTGGTCCTGCTCCTGCGTGGGAGGCGGACTCCATACTCAGACCCATGAGGTTGGTCGGGGCTTCTCACGTCACCTTTTTCATATTAGAAATAATAGAAGAAATTTTGGGATCTACTGAGGATAAAAAACAATAACACAGCTTTCCTAGTATGAGATGGATGATTCCATTAAAGATCAATAGCATTGAACCTCAGAAAATGAATATTTTGTTTTTTAAAAAAACTTGAAAGAGGATAAGAAAACAAGCAACAAGGAGAAAATATTTGCAAACTAATTATCCCATGGATACCTCGAGTACAGAATATAAAAAGAAATCTCAGATCTAAACAGGAAGAACCAAGGACACTAGTACGATCTATGTAGAACATGGGGAGGTGTCAAGAAGAACCATGTAGTGAAGAAGATATATTGGTGGCAACAAGCACAGAGAAAGATGCTCATCCTTGGCCATTAGGGAAATGGCAATTAAAATCCCGTGAGATATCAGTTCCCGCGTCTCAGATTGGCTAAAGTGAAAGAAGGGGTGACCCCCACTGCAGGCGAGGATGGGAGAACCGGGGTCACTCACCCGTGGCTGCTGCCCGTGGGAAATGGTGCCGACAGTCGGGAAAGAGTGGGCAGCTGCTGAAAGTGCTACACGTGTCACTGCCACACAACCCCAAGGACCACGTGGGCATTGATTTCAGAGAAGCGACAACATATGTTCACAGAGAAAGGACAGGATGATGTTCCCGGCACCCGAGGGCATGATGTGCCAAGAGAACATGCGATGCCCTTGCTGGGTGGAGGGTCCACAGACTCTGGTCCACCAGGACCATGGAATACGACTCGGCCGTGAACAGGAAGGAACTCAATGCAAAGACAGTTGGGAGGAACCTACAGGGGTTAGAGGAGGTGAAAATGCCCGTCTCAGAGGCTACATGTACGGGATTCTATCTCTAATCCTAGAGGCCATTTCTGAAATGAAGATCTTTAGACATGAAGAAGCAACTAGTGGAGCCATGAGCTGAGGGCTGGGACAGGCACCCTGAAGGGAGAGGTGGGTGTTTTTATAAAAGTAAAATGTGGGAGGCCCTAGTGGGGAGAGAAGGTTGTTCTGTCTTCATGCTGTTGTGGATCCATGAAGCTACACACGAGGGATTAAATCCCATAGAACCAAACACATAGACATTCACACTATGAAGAAGAAAAGAGGGAAAATGAAAGGAAGAGTTAATGACAAGCAACAGCAAAGAGCATAAGGTAGAGACAAACAGAAGAATTAAATGGAAAGTTACGAGAGAGAGAAAGAGAGAGAGAATGAGAGAATGAGGGGAGGCCCTCCTCAGCTCACTCTACTCTGGCCCCGCCTCCTTGTCACTCTCAGCCACATCAGCTTCATGTCACCTCCTGGTCAGGTTGTCACCTGCTTCAGCTGCTGCTTCTAGAGACTCTCCGAAGGCCACCTGCCACTCAAGGATTTATTTTGTTTCTTTGATTTTTGTTTATTTAATAAATATTTTTATTGATTTCAGAGAAGAAGGCAGTGGGAGAAAGAAAGAAACATCAATGGTGAGAGAGAGAAAGAGAGAGAGAATGAGAGAATGAGGGGAGGCCCTCCTCAGCTCACTCTACTCTGGCCCCGCCTCCTTGTCACTCTCAGCCACATCAGCTTCATGTCACCTCCTGGTCAGGTTGTCACCTGCTTCAGCTGCTGCTTCTAGAGACTCTCCGAAGGCCACCTGCCACTCAAGGATTTATTTTGTTTCTTTGATTTTTGTTTATTTAATAAATATTTTTATTGATTTCAGAGAAGAAGGCAGTGGGAGAAAGAAAGAAACATCAATGGTGAGAGAGAATCATGGATCAGCTGCCTCCTGCACACCTCGTATTGGGGTTCTAGCTTGGAACCCGGGCCTGTGCCCTTGACGAGTATCAAACCCTGACCTCCTGGTTCCTAGGTCGACCCTCAACCACGGTGCCACGCTGGTCCGTCTTTTTTTGTGTGTGTGAAACAGCTTTATTGAGTGTAATTGATGCCACACTGGAACTTTTGATGGAAAGTTGACTTTCTGGGCTCACAGTCACCGGGCCCCTCTGACGCCAAAGCCACAGGTAAGACACAAAGAAAGGGTCAGTTCTTCACACGGATCATCCATCCCTTTCCCACCAGGGCTGACGTGAGGCCCTGAGACCCTGACCCTGTCACCCCGTGGCCACAGCAGAGGGTCCCCACGGCCTCTCCGGGGCCCCTTGTCGCCCTGTGACCTGGGATGTGTGCAGGCGGTGTCCTCTCGGGCTGGTGCCCGTCTCAGCACAGCGGGGACATCTGCCTCTGCCCCTTCCCTCGCCGACCTCACTTGCACAGCGTGTCCGTCTGTCTGTCCATCGAGGCCACTGCTGACTCTCCCACGTTATGGGCAGCCAGGCCCGGGGAGGCCCTGGGTGAGTGTGGTCCACTCTGGGGTTCCCATTGAACCCGGACCGTCCTCCTGGCCCCTCCCTGCAGGGTGAGGAGTGGGGACCCGTCCTGCAGTGGGACCCAAAAGGCCTCCTTTAGGACTAAGTCACCGCAGCCCTTTAGACAACACCCCTTCACTGGAGGGGGTGGGGGTGGCCCATGAACTCTGTGGCTCCAGCCGCCGGGCTGACAGAGATCACTGTGGGGTCAGCCCTGATCCATCTCCTCCTGCTCCTCCTGCTCCCTGTCCCTCCTCAGTGGGCAAGGTCCTGCCCCGTTGCTCAAAGACCTGGGCAGAGGGGGAGCCTGTCTTGGCCCCACAGCAGAGGCTCTGGCACAGCGGGAGGAGCCAGGCCCTGCTCCCGGCTGGTCCTGCTCAACCTCCTCACAGGCCCCGCCTCCCTCTTGGGCCCCTGCACTGCGCCCCCCACGGGGTCAGGGCTCTGTCCTGCCACCCTGAGGACCAGACACTTCCTGCTCAGCCCCGTCCTGCCAGGGCCCTGCTTCCATCCATAAAACAGCGGAGGCAACAGACGACGTCCAAGGTTACTTCTGCAGCCTAAGGCCTCTGTTCCTTCCCTGAGCAGAGCCCCTGACAGGAGCCCAGGCCCAGTGGCTCCTGGGAACCTGGTCAGCCCCCCCCCTCAGGGGTACTGTCTGCAGGGTCAGATGTGGTCTGTCCCAGCTCCTGCCCACAGGTGAGGGGGGATCAGAATGTAAGGGTCATGGCCCCCGTTTGCTTCTCCCCGTGGTGCCTTGGGGAGCATGAGGGGTGGGAGGAGGGTGATGGGTTTTGACAAGAAAGAGTCAGCATCGCAGCACCCAGGAGGGGGGCAGGGAGCAGGTCCCCTGAGTCCTTGGGAGGAGCAGACAGAGGGAGGAAGGTTTCAGCCCCACTTCCCCTTTGTCTGTGTCACTGTGGAACCCCCCGAATTTGCCACCAGTGTTATAGGCCAATCCACAGTGATACTCTCCCTCATCCTCAGACTGCAGGTTGGAGATGGTTAAGTAGCGGTCGGCCCCGGAGCTGGAGCCTGAGAAGCGATCAGGGATCCCGTCCCCCTTGGTGTGGCTTCCGT